GCCTGGGTTTCAGGCTCGATCCCCAGTAGGTAGCGTGCAGGAGGCAGCTGATGGATGTTTCACTCTCACATCGATGTTTCTCCCTCTCCCTTCTTTCTAAAAAGCAATTAAAAAAATCTTTAAAATTGTAAGATACACATAGCGTAATACCATTTTAATCACTTTTTTAAAAAAATATATTTTATTGATTTTTTACAGAGAGGAAGGGAGAGGGATAGAGAGCTAGAAACATCGATGAGAGAGAAACATCGATCAGCTGCCTCCTGCACGCCCCCTACTGGGGATGTGCCCGCAGCCAAAGTACATGCCCTTGATCAGAATCGAACCTGGGACCCTTCAGGCCGCAGGCCGACGCTCTATCCACTGAGCCAAACCGGTCAGGGCCATTTCAATCACTTTTAAATGTACGATTCAGTGGCTTTCAGTAACTTTTTCTCTCTGACCAGTCCTAAGGTGAGACGAGTTGCAGGAATAGCTCAATGAACTCCCTAGAGGTGATGGCGAACCTTTTGAGCTCGGCGTGTCGGCATTTTGAAAATCCCTAACTTAACTCTGGTGCCGTGTCACATACAGAAATTTTTTGATATTTGCAACCATAGTGAAACAAAGACTTATATTTTTGATATTTATTTTATATATTTAAATGCCATTTAACAAAGAAAAATCAACCAAAAAAATGAGTTCGCGTGTCAGAGGTGTCATAGGTTCGCCATCACTGGCCTAGAGCCTTCTCTCAGACTCACCACGTTTTGCCATGTTGGCTCCATTCGCTCCCGCCCTCACTGACAGGTACACACTTTCTTCCATTGAACCGCTGCAGCGTAAGCTGAGACCTCGCACCCCTTTCCTCTTAAACACTTCCGTGTGCGCTACCGAAGAACAGAGACTTCTCTGCACACGCTCCCATCCAGTTTAATGATGATGTGATGCTGTCATCTCACCCACCTTCGTATACGTTAATTACTGCCCATCGTCTCATTGCTGCCCCTCATGCATTGCCTCTGGGTGTCGCCTCCAAGCCCTCTTCTTTCCTCGGTTCTCTGGGGCTAGGAGGCGGGTCCGGGGACCCAGCACCCAGGGCTCTGCCCGCCGAAGCAGGTCGCCTTCGGGCAGCGCGCTCCATGCCAGCTGCCCTTGACCTGTGGCGAGCTGAGAGGGGTCACCTCTGTTTCCTAGAACTGGTTTTATTTATTTATTTATTTATTAAATATATTTTACTGATTTTTTACAGAGAGGATGGGAGAGGGATAGAGAGCTAGAAACATCGATGGGAGAGAAACATCGATCAGCGGCCTCCTGCACACCCCCCACCAGGGATATGCCCGCAACCAAGGTACATGCCCTTGACGGGAATCAAACCTGGGACCCCTCAGTCCACAGGCTGACGCTCTATCCACTGAGCCAAACCAGTCAGGGCCCTAGGACTGATTTTAAAATGAGTTTGTGTTTGCCTTCTCTGAATACACAGAGTGGACGTAGGAACAGCAAAATGAGCCACCAGAGCCCGTGGGGCGCAAGTGTGACCGGGCAGGGCCAGCGGGGGCTTGGAGATGCGGGGCGGTGTTCAGTTCAGTCCCGGGGCTCCTGGAAGGAGGTGGCTGGACTTCGGGACCTGCCCCGAGGGTGGTGCGCAGTGGAGAGCCCGCACCCAGAGCACGGCGGTGGGTGGTGGATACGTCCTGGGACCCCCTGTGTGCGGGCACCTGGTAAGCCTGCGCTCTGCCTGGGCTGCGGCTCCCAGGCCACGTGGGAGACTCCCAGCCGGTACTGTTGGGAGTCTATGCGCTTCCAGAGTCGTTAGGATCAAAGCTGGGTGAGCAGTGTTACCTCCGGCCCATAAAGCCCCAGTCCTCCTCCTCCAGACGTAATGATATGTAAGCACTCAGGTGCCCCAGGTGCCTCCAGGGCTGCAGGCGGTTCGCTTGTTCTGTGTTTTCACCGTGTGGGAAAGGGGTCAGTGACATAACCCTTCACCCAGCACTGATCTCCTGGCTTAGGGATATTATCTCATTTGGTTCTCAGAGTGACCCTGAGAATTTGATGAGCGAGGAGAATGGCTCGGTGATTTGTAGAGAAGGTACGTTGGGAGGCCTAGGTTTGCACGCTGGTACTGTTAAGGGATTTGAGGTAACATAGGTGAAGCACTGAGGATAGTGCTGGCACACAGTAGGTGCAGAAGTGAGAGTTTAGCATCACCATCTCCACTCCTCCTCGCCACTGCTCATTGGACATCACACTGCGGGCAAAATTCAAAGCATGAATTTTCTTTTCTTTTTTAATATATTTTATTGATTTTTACAGAGAGGAAGGGAGAGGGATAGAGAGTTAGAAACATCGATGAGAGAAAACATCGATCAGCTGCCTCCTGCACACCCCCTACTGGGGATGTGCCCGCAACCAAGGTACATGCCCTTGACCGGAATTGAACCTGGGACCCTTCAGTCTGCAGGCCGACGCTCTACCCACTGAGCCAAACCGGTTTGGCATGAATTTTCTTCTTATTGTTGTTAATCCTCACTCAAAGATATTTTCCCATTGATTTTTCGGAGAGAGTGGAAGGGAGGGGGAGAGACAGAGAGAAAGAAACAGCGACGTGAGAGAACGCATCGATTGGTTGCCTCCCGCAAATGTCCTTACTTGCACCAGGGATCGAGCCTGCAACCTCGGTACGTGCCCTTGATCGAAATCGAACCCAGGACTCTCCAGTCCTCAGGCCGACGCTCTAGCCACTGAACCTAATTGTCTAGGGCCAAAGTATGCATTTTGGGGCTAAGTCCCCAAGTCTTTCTACTTTCCAATTACGTTCAAAAGAGCAATCAGAGATCACAGCCTGGCCTTTGAAGGCCTGGTCTCCATTTCATCAAAATGGGAGTGTGCATGTTTGAAGAGGCTATTAGACATCTGCGTGTGTGTGTGTGTGTGTGTGTGTGTGCGCGTGCGCGCGCGGGTACAGCCTGGCTGTCCCTACACCTGCCCCTGTCAGAATCACCGTGGTTGAGAGCAGGTGTGTGGTAGCTGTGGGCATCAAGTGGAAGCAGAAAGAGATGATGCCTTCAGGCCATTCCAGCTGCAGAATTTGTTAAGAATAAGAAGGTGTTTGCCCCACAGGTTTGGCTCTGTGGATAGAGCATCATCCTGCGGACTGAAGGGTCCAAGGTTCAATTCCGGTCAAGGGCACATGCCTGGGTTGCGGGCTTGATCCCCACTAGGGGGCGTGCAGGAGGCAGCCAGTCAATGATTCTCTCTCATCATTGATGCTTCTATCTCTCTTTTCCTCTCCCTTCCTCTCTGAAATCAATAAAGATTTTTTTTTTAAAGGTGTCTGTTGCCCACAAAAGACCAGAGAGTGATTTTGGGATGAACCTTGGTAACCCGAGACCCAGTAGCTGTTTCTGAAACACCCTTCTTGTATATTACGCCCAGAGGGTTAGCGCCGTCAGCCCATGAGGGAGTAGCCTGGTGACTGGGATCCTGTGTGTAGAGCACAGTGCAAAGGGTATTGCTGTTAGACATGGAGGAGAAGCGGGTCACAGCCGGACCAACACCAGCGTCAGGGGAGGGCGGGAGCTCCAGGCCTGGGCTGGAGGATGGCTGGGAGGGAGTCGGTCGGGGGGTGTCCAGGTGAGTGGGAAATAAAGGTTGGCCGGAAAGTGTGAGGCCAGGTTGTTGAGGACCCACAAAGCTGCCATAAAATGCTCTCTGCTCTCCAAAGGACAGGTGTGAGGACTTTGTTGACCTATGGAAATGTGTGTTTGGAGAAAAAAATGGAATGCAAAATAGTATGTACAAACCCGACAGCTGTGCAAACACACCGCCTGCGGAGCTGAGGGATGAGAAGGGCGTCGCGGGTGTCAGAGCGCCCGCGCGCCTCTTTCCGCTCGTTTGTTTTCCTGTCGCTCCCTGATGCAAACTGAGAGCGAGCGGCAGCCTGGGCCTTGGGGCTCGGCTTTGGACTATCGGACACCCCCCGCATGTTCTCTTTTGATTCGCTTTGATTGATAGAATCCATACACAGTTTGGATTTGTGGACGTTATATTTGGAAGCTCACCTACCCACTAAAATGTACCTGCGACCTCAGTCAGTATCTGAGCTGCGTCGGTCACGTGTAGAGAGAGAAGAGTAAAACTGTCAGTCACCTGATGCACCGTCCCAGCCGAGGTGCAATAAGAGGACACTTTGCTTCTTGTTTAGGCCTCGCGTGGTTAACGAGGGTCCTTTTCTGTTGCGTGCCCTGCTTTCTGTATTTCTGTGCTTTTTGTGGGTGATCTCACTGTTTCCCATGGCCCCTGAGCGTAGTGCTGAAATGCTAAGGCCCCTAAGGCCAGGGAGGCTGTGATGTACCCGGGAGAGAAAATACGGGTGTGGGATCAGCTTCGTTCAATAGTGAGTTATAGTATCGGCCATGAGGTCAATGTTAATGAGTCAACCATGTATATTAAACAAGGCGACTTTAAACAGACACACGCATAAAACAAAGTTATGTATTTAATATATGTGTATGTATATATATACATATATATATATTTCAGAGAGGAAGGGAGAGGGAGAGAGAGTTAGAAACATCAATGATGCAAATCATTGATCCGCTGCCTCTTGTACACCCCCTACTGGGGATCGAGCCAGCAACCTGGGCATGTGCCCTTGATCGGAATCGAACCCAGGACCCTTCAGTCCGCAGGCCAAAGCTCTATCCACTGAGCCAAACCAGCCAGGGTGAGGTTATGTATTGATCCATTGATGAAAGCTCTGTAGCCAAGGTTTACAGGAACCTAACTTTGCATTTTCCTTGAGGCGACTTTACAGACCATAATTGGTGTGAATAACAAAACTCGACTGTATTATAACATTCACCTTTTGAAATGAGCCCTTTTATACGTTAGTATACCCGGAGGCTGTGCCCTGTCACCCTCACAGCGGTACGTGCGTGCCCTCGCCCAGCAGCGCGGGAAGAATGGCCCCTCCGTTTCTCCCCGTTCCTGATCTCCCCCCTCTCTTTCAGAATGCCCAGGAGAACCATGGCCTGGCTGTACCCACCCCCTCTGTCCCAGAAGACTTTGCAGACAAGGAAGTGACAGGTAAGAGGACCCTGGGCTTGGGGCTTGTCCATCTTTCTTTCCTCTTCAGGCCCAGGTATCCGGCCCACCTCCCCAGCTGGCGATAAAACCGGAGTCCCCAGGCCTCTTGGCTACTGGCTGCAGAGGGTGGGGGTTGAGGAGGCCAGGGGTGGGTAAGGCCTACAGTGGGAGGATGGCCAGAACAGCACCAAGGGCAGCACAAAGTGGGAGAAAGAACCATGGAGTCAGACAGACCTGGCTCTGAGTCCCAGGACCTTGCACACTCGCTTTGCTCCCTTGGGAAAATAACTTAACCCCTGACACCTGTCCATCGCATGCGCGCTGACAAGGACAGTCCCAGCGCTGGTGGGTGGGATGTAAGTCGCTTGTTGTCATACCTCCTGCTCAAAACCTCCAGCGACTTCCCATGCCACTCAGAGGGAAGGTTCTTGCGGGGACTGGCAGAATCTGGCCTCGCCGGGCCTCACCGCCTGCTTCCGCTCCCGGCTCACCCTCCTCCAGCCAGCCACTCTCCTGGCCGCTCCTGCAACGCCCAGGCAGGTCTCCGCCCCAGTCTTCACACTGCGCTTCCTCTGCCTAGACTGCTCCCCTCCTGGACCTCCGGCGGCGCTCTCCCCAGGCCTGCCAGCTGTGCTCGAATGTCATCTTCTCAGGGAGGCCTTCTCTGATCTCCCTATTCACACCGCACTCCAGCTCCCTCCTGGGTTTCCCCCCCGTGTTACCCGTCCCAATGTGGTAATAATGTACTGCTGGTCTGTCTCACTGTCCCATTGAAACACAAGGTCCAGGAGGGCTAGGATTTTGACTACGTTGCTTTGTTTGGGTTTTTTTAAGTATATTTTTATTGATTTTAGAGAGGCAGGGAGAGGGGGAGAGAGATAGAAACATCAGTGATGAGAATCATTGATCAGCTGCCTCCTGCTCGCCCCCTACTGGGGAATCAAGCCCACAAACTGGGCACGTGCCCTGATGGGAATCGAACTGTGACGTCCTCAATGCTCAACCATTGAGCCACACTGGCCAGGCTGTCCTCTGTTCTTTGTTATGAAGTCAGATAGCTGGAGGAGCCCTTCAGAGCTGCACATTCCCCAGGTTTGTTATGCTCTGTGCTAGAAGCAAAGAGGGGGTGGGGGAAGGGGTGCCCCTAAGAGAGAAACAACCTGGGTATCCTGGCTGTGCAGACTTTAAGAAGCTGGGAGGGTGTGAGCTGCTGGCCCAGCCTCTCTCTGGTGCCAGATTGTCCTGGTCACCTTCTTTCTACATGCCTCCATTCCATCCCACAGGCCAGAGCGTGTTCTAGAAGTTCTCTGTGAGGTGGACAGCTGAGATCTGGGCAGATTCAGGGTCTTTAGAAAGAGGAGTTGTTCATATAAATTGATCCCTCCTAAACTTTCACCTAAACTTCCTCACTGAGAGGGTCTCCAGGCCCTGCCCTTGACCCATGACTTCCTCACTCTTACTTTCCCTGTCTGTCTGGCACAGTCTGAACCGTTGAGCATGGGAGGTAGTAATCAAAGTGGTTACTGTTCATTCGTAAGTGCCTACGATGGGCCTAGCACCGTGATAGGCCCTTTATATGGATTTACATGAATTACCTTATTGAATCCTCACAAGCGCTGTGGTGAGCACTGATATTATGCCCATTTTAGAGAGGCTAAAACTGAGGCTCGGCAAGGTTAATTAGTGTGCCCAAGGTCACACATCTGGTAAGTGGTAGGACCGGGATCTGAACCCTGGTCTTCCTGGTTTTGTAAGAAATAGATGGTGCCCTGAGAGTGGGTAACTGAAGAGAGTGAAGGGGTGAGATACCAGAGTGTGAGCAGGGCAGGGAAGGGCGGGATGACTCTCCAGAGCAAACGGAGAATATGCAGCACAGTCTCTAGAGGCCGGGCCAGGGACCGCAGGCGCCCTTCCCTCCAGAGGACAAGGTCACTCCCAGGACAGCTCGGGAGACTGGAGACATTGCTCCCTCACTTGGTGCTCAAGAGGAAAGGCATGACCCCGGCCAGTTACTACCTAGGTTGCCACCCCTGTGCCCTGGGCCCACAGAGGTGGCCAGAGCTGGTCGGCCTCACGCCTCCTCACCTTTGTCTCTCCCTCCTTCCAGGTACCAGCTCACTAGCCAATGGCAACCTCCGACTGTACAGCTCTGTGGGCGACCTCAGGCCTGGGCACTATGGCCAGGACCCATTCATCCCTCCACCTCCCCCAGGCCCCGCCCCAGGGCCACCTCCAGGACCTCCCCCAGACACTTCGCCACCTCCAGGGGAGTCCCCGCCACCACCTCCACCTTCCATGGCTTCCTTGCCACCTGCCCTGCTGCTGGAACCCCCACCGCCACCCAACATGGCCCCTCCTCCACCCCCAGTATCAGGGACCCTGTCCCCCCCAACCACACCCTCCCCTCCCCATTTCATTCCCCCTGCC